TCAAACCGCGGCTTTAGCATCCTTCTTCCCGAGCAGAAATTTTAATTTTGGAGGAGGGCCTGAGTTGGGCAGTAGGATGCTGAGTTACAGAGGAACGAGGGAGAAACCCACACCAGACCATCGGTGACGGTCGCAAACCCGAAAATCCGAAACACAATCTCAACAGCAAAGCCAGCAAAGCATACTCTCAAAGTTTAAAGCCCTAGACTCTAAACATCTCTCACCGTCCAAACCCATGCAACCCCCTGCCCCGCTTCCGAGGTCTTTCACGGATTGCAGTGTGCATCAAATCGGTCTCGCAGTGCTGTCCGAAGATCCAGACTGGAAGCTGTTTTGTCGCAAGCTTTTAGAGTTTCGGGTTGAGGGTGACGTTTGAGGTCTTGAATGGATTTAGGACAGTATCGGGGCTCAATTTTGAGTCTTGGGCTTAGGGTTTTAAGTTTCAAGTGTGGGGCTAAGGGGCTACGGTGCTTTTGGCGGCTTCAGCCGCAGGGGAACGTTCCGAGTGTCAACCAAAGTTAGCAGAGACTGAAGAAAGCGCAGTAGCTATGCCTTGCCGATACAGCTACCTTTCGTTGAAAGCTTCAGGATTCCGAAGCCATAAAGGCCTCTATACCCCCTAATCACTGTCCAGCCAAGTTTGCGACCAACAGTACACGACTTAGTCGGTTTAGTAACACACCACTAGCACTAGTAATGACAGTATTGCCCGGAAGACGCTCAGGGAGTAGCAGTAGTAGCTGTGGTGATGGCACGGTCGACCTAGTCGTGAAGCAGCAGCAGCAGCGGCGGCCAGCGCAGACGTCGTTGTCGCCGTCGCTGCTGTTGTGACTTCCAGACACGGTAAGGAAGGGGCCACCAGAAGTTCATTTCAATCCAGAAACAGCAATTGATTGAAAGCTTGCGACACGTTGTCGGACTAGATTTAAACAGTTGCCAAAGTAGCGTTAATGACAACGGGAACAAGCTGTATTTTCCCCCGATGCTTCACCATGCTGTCCCTAGCAGGGGCCCCCTTCCCTCTCCGCGCATGGACAGGGAGACCTTGGGGCTTCAGATGTTGGAGTTGCTTTATTTCCCTGCAACATCAGGGCTGGAAGACTGGACGCCAGAATCAACTTGTGTTTCCGCCTTCCATGCTTGTTGTATTTACTCCCCGAACACTCAGCCTTCAGCTGGCTTCTTCACAACAGTAGTACTGTAGCAGAAGTAGTAGTAGCAGTAGTCGTCGTCGTCCTAGTAGTAGTAGTAGTAGTAGTAGTAGTAGTAGTAGTAGTAGTAGTAGTAGTAGTAGTCAAGCTTAAAGGGAGACCTCGGCGGCCCGAGGATGGACGATCGATTGAAAAGTCAGGCGGCGAATGCAA